ACACTGCATCAATGAAAGGAACTGATAACGTTTACTTATGTACATACATATGTATGTACATATGTACCTTAAACCGCCTGATGCTGCATACAAAGAAAAATCAGTTCTCCTTGCCCAAGCCAATTCTGTAGTATAGTGTGCATATTTTCGAACTTCCAACAAAATATTTTAGCTCAATTCAAGGCACTAAGTTGTAAACAAAAATTACATTGAAAAAAATTTCCCTAGAAACAGGGTAAAAAAAAAATCTAATTGCAAGCCTTTTTTTATTTTTGTTGCCATATTACAAATAGTTTAATTTTTGAGGCCGTTTAAGGAGTGTCTAATCAAAAGATGATATATCCACGTTACTTTACAGTACGAGCGAAATACTTAAACCCATGATTTGTCGTTGATTCACGAGTTTGTGTAGATTTAAAAAGCACGTTTGGCTTGTTATTTGAATTATTATTGCAGTTGTGCATCTGTTTACATTAGCTCTGATCCAGTACTCCATGAACTTACAGGTTTTTACACGAACTTGCAGGAAGTTACAGGAAAAATGATCCCGTACTCCAAATTCCTCCAAAATCCTGTAAATGAGAGCGATTTTTGGAGAGTTATGTAGAGAATGAAGTTGCAGTATTTTACCCGAACTTTTTCTTCTTGTAAAAACGTGAAAAGTATCAAGCGATCACTGGTTGACGTTTTTACTGGAAAAAATTATTTTTTTGTTCTCGTCCTTTTTGTTGTTACTCACTTTTTACTCTCACTTCAGAGAGTAATTTTGCTGTTTGACATTTTTACAGGATTTTACACGAAAAGTATTGGATCAGAGTTATTTTGTGCAGAACAGCTGATTGTTGTTTGGTACAAACAGAAGGTTGCATATCTCATATTTAAATAGCCTATATTGGCCATTTAGTACAGTTCAAATATATGATTATATGATCTGAAAACGAAATATTTTGCATTGTTTTTTTTGGCTTTCAAAGTGTTTTTCATGGCTTTTTTTTGTTTAATATATATTGTACGACAAAAACCATATGTATCCAAAATTTAAAATTTTGGGATTTTCTTTCCTATAACCAATCTTTTTGTATTGATGAATAAAAGAAAAATATTATTTAAAATTAACTTGCCTTTTATTTTACTAAAATTGAATAGGCTATAAAACTGCCAATTTATTTGGCTTTTTTGTATAAATGCTCATTACATAGTTTGACATTTTGCTGAATTTACCTTAGTTTCCATCAAAGTAATTTTAATTTACATCGTTATTGTTGTATACTTTATAAACCACATTAAAAAAAAATATGAACAAATTTTATATGAAAATCATTTCGAATATCAAAAAATCAATGCAAAATAATTCTATGAGTCACCGTATATATAGTATATGCATACTCTATGTACTAATATACTTAAGAAAGAATTGAGTTATATGCTATAGTATTGTGCAACTACTATTCCATGTGTATGTGAAATCCCCATCTCGGCAGCTAGGCTATTTAAAATGTTATACACGAACATATTTTGGTTTCCCCTTAAGGCTTACATTACAATCGAAAAGTTTAAAACGTTTTTTCTCGAATTTGCATTTATGTGTATGTATGTATGTATGTATGTAAGTAGTACCAACTTATTTGATAAACACGTTCGTTATTTGCTTCTGAGAACACCAGCATACAGTGATTTGACTTGTGGCATTGAACTGCCATTTCTAATGTAAAATTTGTCGCTGAATCCGAATATGAAATCAAACATTAAGAAAGTAGAACAGTTTTCGAGATATAGATATAAAAATGTCGCGGTTGGACAACTATATCTAAAGAAAATTGTAATTAAGTGACTGCACTTTTTTCAGGTCTCAAAAACCCGAATTTTGGGTATATCTCAAAAACGGTTCTACTACCTTACATTTTGAATTCGTATTCAGATTCAGCGGACATTTTTTTGATTTCTGTAAACTTGTGTGATGTAATTAGAAAAAATCGATTTTCTGAATTTTTACTTAAGTGCTTATGACTTCTACATTTTCAACTCAATTTGGATAGGTTAGGGTTTATTTTCTTCCCAAAAGATCACAATTTGACGTCCAGTAAAGAAACCGGAAGTAATAATGTTTTTTTTAAGACGAAATTTACAGAGTTTTTGTGAAATTTCGTTAAAAATTATGCAAACTTCTCGAAAAATTCACAAATAGCTCCTAAACCGACAGATTGAAAAGTGTTGCATACACTAAAAAAAACTTCGAAATTGGCTAACTACATCCGCAGATAATGACAGTTAATGAAATCACGCTTTTTCAAAATTCGAAAAAAGGAAATTTAGCTATATCTCGAAAACTGTTCTACTTGCTTAACATTTCATTTCGTATTCGGATTCAGGGGCAAGTTTTACATTAGAAATGGCAGTTAAATGCTATAGGTCGAAACATATTCTTAAATTATTGTAATAATTGGGTGTGCCCTAAACCAAGAAAACAGAGACAGAATTTGTTGTATGGCAGTACTTACACCGGTAAAATAAGTGTAAAAGAAGTGTGCAAGTTCAAGTTTAAATTTATATTTGCACATAAACATGTATGTAAGCATGTTTGTACATTATTACTCTATCCTATCCTACGTTGTTCACAGTCATAAATGCACGTATGATGGATTATAAACTTTTATCCATTTACAATTCGTCGCGTGGGTAAAAGATTGTCGTAAGCGTCATTCGTACGTGCGTAACATACGACAATCTTTTACCCAGGCGACGATATATGTATGTACGTATGCTGGAAGAACACCATAATCCCATTTTCTTTTTGTGTTCTTCTTTGTATTTATACTTAGAAAACAATCACTTACGGGCCAAAAGAAGGGGCTAGTATAAAATACATACATATATAATGTATGCAGTTTTATTTTGTATGTAAGCTCAGGAAATGAAGGGAAATGAATGCAGAATATGTAGTAAAGGATGACGTATTTTTAACCTCACCCACAATCCATCTGGGCTAGCCGTACATTTACAAATGTACATACATACATACATATTTATTTGCATAAAATATTAAAACGCTGCTGCAAATGCACCACAGCACTTGAGACCGGTTTAACCTCGAGATATTTATTTCAGGCGCACACTTCATAAAAAGTGAAATCTTGCCAGCGCTGCGGTTGGTATACTTTAACCATCGCTAAACAATGGCAATGCGCCTAAAAGTACGCTAAAAAAAGAAAACATTACTTCGGTGCTGTTGGTGTTGCTTGCACACAGAATGCGTTAGTTATTTTTTATTAAAATCCACTCCCATTCATGGCTATAGGCAAAACTACATACATATCGTAACCTTAATATAGAAAGGCCCTAACTCATATAGTCGTTGAAATGCAAAAAGCTGTAACTAACTTAAAATTTTTATTGTTTAAACTGACGTGCGGACTTATGATTCCATGAAATGCTTCTTAATAAATCAAAAAAGGAATTTTGTTTTTTTATTTAGTTAAAGCTTTTTTTATTTCAGCGACGATGTGAGATAGGGCCTTTCTATATTAAGGTACATCCATACATACCTAAAAAGTATGCAGTTGCTACACATCAGTTCCAATGATTGAGTCGCTTATAAATTTCGCGCACACTTTGTGTGTGAAACTTGGCAACAGCGCTTTGTGCTCCTTACAAATAAACACACACATTTTGTAGATTGTATGTATGTATGTATGTATGTAATGTGCTTGCACCGGTCTCCTTTTTTGCACGTTGGTAACGGCCGGGTTACTCAGCCCTGGGCTGGGCCACATGACGACGACCACCGGTGCGGCCAGTGACTGCACTGTGCGCTGTGCATGCCGGGTTGGGCTGGTGCATTGAGCGCATGCGTCAAAAAAATGTGCGCCGCTTCTCAGTTTTTTGTTTTGCCTTGAAGACAAACTGAGTCAATGCTTGCCGGAGCGAGGGTTGCGGTTGGACATACACATACATACTTATGTATAATTTATAGCCATATGATTTCCCGGCTTTTTGGTGTATGCCCTTTTTCGGCGAGAGAACTTGGCGCAGCAGCTATTGATTTTTTGATTTTGATTACCCACCAACATAAAATATGTATCTACATACATACATAGGTATGTGCATACTTCGATATAAACAAATATATATGTATGTATGTATACATACATACATATGTATGTGCATACATATCTACTTATTAACATAGTCTGGACTTTTTAAGCATACTTTATTAAAGTTGTCTCAAACACGTGCTATTACATCTCTGATTGATTCTTATTTCCAACTTTTGTAAAGACGATATCTGGGATATGAATATTGGTGAGGACAGTTTTGAAAACTTTTTTTCTTTTGATTGCATGTACAATTATGTATTCACATACATACATATGTATATTTATGTACTTTTTCATAAATCTTAAAAGTCGGATACCATTTGCTAGAAATATAAAATATATTTTACGGGAATGAACCTTTTATTAAGCACGTAAAAAACTGCCGTTATTCGTATTAATGTAGAATTTGGTACAAAAACTGTATAATTTTTGTAGCGGTATTAACGGGTTTTACATAAGTTCTACATGTTTTTTATGAGGTTGTTAACGATCAGCCCGCTTACATACTTACAACTTTAAAATAATTTATCTCGAAACCAATTTTTGAGAGTCGAAACACTTAAGTTTTTATTAGCTAGGCTTCTTTGGCTCTCATGGTCTAATATACTATCCATACATATGTGTGTAGGCATGTACCTTATCAGAAAAAAATGGTCGCCGTATACCCCTGATTTAAATACAATGCAAATGTTTAATGAACTTCCCGATACTGCCTATCATGGCCGTTTTAAGACTAGTATATAGTCTATAGGGACATATTCATAGTCAGAATAAAGTCGACTCTAAATTTCGGTGTGACATTAAAACTTTCCTCGCATTACCATTCGCGATACGGTCAGGTTGTAGGCATAGCTTAACGTTTTGCATTTTATCTACCGTGAATGGTGGCTGTTTTCCGATTATTGTCAGCCGGCGAACAGCTGTTCCGTTATCGAAGAAATGTTAGGTTGTGTTTTTCATTGATTGGATTGGAAAAAATGGCATTAACTAATTTATTAGTGAGAAACTATTTAAAAACTGTTATATGTAATAATAATCCTTTGCTAATAACTGCGCGCTTGGGGCACACAATACGTGGCAAACGGCCGGGAGTCGCTAGGTCATTGGAGCAACGTTTGCAGGGTATGTGACAGCTGCAGCGTGCTAGTGCCGTTTGTCCATCGAATGTTACGTATTAGCAAGTGTAATTAAATATTTTGTTTGTTTTTATTTCAGAGGAAAATGCTAAAGACCCCGAGCTAACCGCGCGTGTTAACATTGGGTTTCCACGTTTGAAACCTTCACGCTCTGAACAATTGAAGGAGCGCCTGGCGCACTTGAAAGCACAACGATCTAGCGAAGAAGTGGAGAAGTTGGCTCGCTCCAACAAATGTAGGAATTACACTCAGTTAAATGATTTCTTACAATAGTAAAACAATGCACTTTCAGTACTTATTGATCTGGATGAAGTACAGTCAGAATATCGGGCCACTAATGGACAATATGATTTGCGTGTGATTGCTGACCATTATGGCATTTTTGACGATTTATTCGGTTTGGCATATTTTGTGCCGCGCGTTGTATTAAATGTGAAGGTAAGTCCGCCATATATTAAATTAAAAAAAAGGATAACTAAATATTGCTGCAAATCTTCAAATTTTCAGTATCACATGGATGGCGATACACACGGCCTTGTTTATAATGGCAACGTCATAAAGCCTGCAGAGGCAGTAAGTGCGCCGGAGGTTACCTTCGATGGAACGATTGATCCAATAACAGGAAAGGCAAGTTAAATTTCAAATTTTTTCTCAACAAAAAGTGGTTTAATGGAAAACTTTTTCTTATCTAATCTATAATAACAACTTGCAGAAATCTGAAGGTGATTTTTTCTGGACGCTTGTTGCCTCTAACCCAGATGCACACTTTTCCGACAGTTCATCTGAATATGTACACTGGTTTATGTAAGGTTTTCAGGTGTTTGTTGCGAAATTGATTTAAAAAACTTATTTATCTTTAATTTTTTAGATCGAATATTCCAAATGGTGACGTTAAGAAGGGTGAAGTGCTCGTAGACTACTTACCACCTTTTCCACCAAAGGGCGTGGGCTATCAACGTATGATCTTTGTGCTGTACAAACAAAACGGCAAATTAGATTTCAGCAAATACAAGCTGCCTACGAGCGACAAGTATAATTTGGAGAAGCGTACATTTAAAACACTTGATTTCTATCGCGAACAGCAGGATAATATTACACCAGCTGGATTGGCATTTTTCCAAAGCGATTGGGATAGCTCACTTACAAAGTTCTACCACAATGCTTTGAGTAAGAATATCTCGCCCAAAATTACGCGTGTGTTAGTTTTCTCAAAAGTTTTCGATTTTTCTTAGATATGAAGGAGCCGATATTCGAATATGATTTCCCCAAGCCCTACCTGGCTGATCAGAAATTCTTCCCTCTTAAGCAGGCGTTTAATTTGTATCTGGATCGCCACCGTGACCCTAAGGAAGTTAACAAGGAATACCTAGAACGCAAATTAGCGAAAACGCATCCATTTGAAGGTCCCGAAAAACCGTTGCGTTTTCCAAATGCACATCCAATACGTGGTGTGCCTTCATGGTTAAAGACAGAAATACGCAAACGTCGATTGGGCATCGGGCGCATTAATGATTACAAATAAGCGATGTAATTCTAAATTTGGCGGTGTGTTTTACAGTTTAGAAAAAATATAGTAAACGTTAATTAAACTCTTATAAATATATGTGTGTTTTGAGCTAATGTGCAGGAAATTTGAACGCTTGTTCTGGAAAATTAAAATAAAATCGTTCCAATAATCGAGGGATCACTGTAGTAGGATCGCGGCTCAAAATTTAGCCGAAAATACCAGGCGCGCAGAAATGTGCAGCAAGAAATCCCGCACCATTCACAATTGATATCTGATCATTATTAGGCTGTGTTCACACGAGTTCATATGAGTTACGGTACACAATTTGTACCTAAATCTGCAATTGAAGACAAAATGCATATTTTGTAGCGCTTTAAAGCGAAAATGATAAAAAAATCATATAATTTTGACTACCGTACCATGCGGAAGCGGTCGTTTCATCTGTTCGCTATATAACTACATATTCATACACATTATCATGCATAGTCACTAGTAAAAGTTTATTATCAGGTTATTATTACATGTTATACATAAATAAATATTAACGTAAATTGGATTTAATCAAATTTTGGTTTTCTAATAGATAAAATCTATGTGGTTAAGTGGCCACATCACCACATACGTTACAACCGTTTACATAGCACATTCTCGTTATATTTTCGTTTTTTATATATGTATGTATAAACTCCTAAGGATTGCATTAAAATACTAACAAAAAAATTCTTACAAATAGAAAACTTTAATAGATATTTTTAATAAAAGTGCCTTTGCATAACAAGAATGCTTTAGATTATACAGGTGGTGTTAGGTATAAAAATAAAAACTCCATTTTCGATACTCGAATTTTTTGTTTGCTTTTATTTAAAATTAGTTTAAATTAATGTTAAACATTTTAATACTATCAACATTTCACTTCCCAATATTTGGCATATATTTTTTTTTATTGGTTTAAGGGGCTCCTTTCGGAAAAAGGAAGTGGAGTTTATATTTTCATACCCACACAAGTATAGAAACTTAAGAATTTGCATTAAAGATATCAAACAATTACATATTATTTTGTCAGTAACAAATATTTGGCACAATTGTTAATTGTATTAAATTGTCGTTCGTTAAAATGGTAATGCATCAATCACATATATTTCCAATACAAGTGAAAATTGTACAAACAAAATCTATTCATAGCTTGAAAGAGATGACACGCTTGGCGGTTCGACCGAAGCGAACTTAAAGCGACTTGAAAGCTTTATTTTTACAATATTACCCTGCGAAAGCCTTTGAAATCAGTGCTTTCGCGGTGCAAACCAGAGGGAAGAGTTAGAAAACTATTTTCCAGATTTTTGATCAGCGATGTCATAAACATAATGACGGTTAGTTCATTTCTTAAGGTGGAAATTTGTCTGCAGAAATATTAATTTCGCGACACCCTTAATTTTCAAACAGCATCTTGTTTTTTAACTTAGCTTTTTTATAACCGATTATAGTTCATCTTCAAAGGTACACATTATCAAGGGGCTGTCTTTATAGTATGTAATTAGAATTAAAACAAAAAAAATGTTAAAAGCAAAGAAATATGCAAGGTCATAGAAGTTCATAAACATTAACAAGAAATTATAAGTACTAAACTCAAATATTAAAGTCCGCCATTTGTTCGATTATTGGGTAATTATGCATTATACTAACAAAGTGGAGTTGATTTCATGAAAATCAGTCATTGCACTGAGCCTCTTATAAGTAGAAACAAGAACTAAAACCGAGGCTTGAAAACTTTCCCGCCAGCATCAAATTAAAGTTGTTAGCGAAGTTAAATAAAAAAAAAAAAAACGAAATAAAACTTCTTTCGTGGAATTAACAAAATTTATAGATATGCTTGCAGCACGACGCTCATGTGAATTGCTTAAAATTACGATGCAAAATTATACAACATCGTGCTTTTAATTTTTGCTCTAAATTAAGATTGTGCAAAATTGCGGTTATATTCTTATTTAAATATGCTTTTCTACTGGGTTAAATTCATTTAACAATTTGAATTATCAAGTTGAGAATTCGTTTTTCTTTTGGTTTTATCAGGCAGGTTCTGCCATTCTCTTGCGAGTGAATTTCAACCATAATCACTTTGAATTGAAATTGATTGGGGTTGAAATTCACTCGGAAGTGAATTGCATAACCTGCCTGTTTATGTATTTTTACTCAACTCTACTAATTTCACCTAGTTTATGAGGTTAATGTAGGTTCGTTCTTAAAAACTAAATTCGAATCCGGATTACCTATACTTTATACTGCCTTTTCAATGGCTTAAGTCTTGCCGCTTTCCTTTTTGCTTTATTTCAAATTTTAGTCGATTTTAAGTCTCCGCCTTGCCGTAGGAACCTGCTGCTGGCCGGTACATAGCCGGCAATGAGAGCACCTGTGGCAGATTAAATGCGTACTTTCGCTTACCGATATTCTTGAAGACATTGTCCATGCGTGTGCCCTCGCTAAGAACAAAACATAGATTATATATTCATAAAAAAAACATAAAATATTAAAACAGCAAAGTCCAATGGTCATACCTTCTCATCGTGCTCAGTACGTATGGCACACTTTTGGCAGGTAAATGGAATTCTTGAACCAATACTCGACACTGTTCCAATGTCACCGACATACCCGTACGGTCTTTGGCACTTTTGCATGAGGTAAAACGCAAGCCTGACATCAGACGGCAAGCATCTTCAGCCAAGTGTAAAATTTTCACATTTTTCGATACATTCGAACGCAGCTGCTCCTCCATAAAACCCAGTATGTTGGCAAGCGCTTGTGGTGCTGGCGGATGAGGTTCATGCTTGCTGGGCGTCTCTGGCTTAACCAGCTGCAACTTACGATATCGACTATAATACTGTTTCAGACGAACAAAGTTATCCCAATTGGAACGATGTTGTTCGCGTGTTTGACCTAGAGTCTCAGCCAGCGTAGCCTTTTCGTTAATTCCGATATTGAAGAACACCGGTGTTAGTTTGAATGTAAACGTCTCTTGAGTTGGCACGATAACATACACATGTTCCGGCACTGGCAGCAGCACATTCAATGCCTGTCGCGAACCTGTAACCCGTGGCAGGGGGGCCAGCGTGTGAGCATCGCTGCTGTACGTGGAAAGGTGGAGACGAGATGATTGAGTTTTAGTAAAATTTGAGATAGTACATAATTCTATGATATTCTTTTACTTTTGTGCGCTACTACGTATAAGCGTGAAATTCACTGCAGAAAGATCCTCGATGGCGACACACATATCACCCCACATATCCGTCTCATTGCCATATAGTGATAGCAGACCTTCAAAGTACGCCAGTGGTCCTAAATCCCTGAGTATCTTTATGAAGTTTTCCGTTATTTCAGTGCTCCATAATTTGGCCATCAGTGCACTGATGAGGGCAGTCAACTTTGAATAGCAACATTTGTTCATAAAAGTTAAAAATATTTTTAAGATTATGTATTAGCTTGCTGCAAATTGCTTACCGCTTGTGAAAAGCACACATCTCTGCGATACATAATTTCCAAATTTATGCTGTTGCGTTTCATATCTTGCTGCAGACGCTGCACAGAATGCATTAGACGCGCCGTCTTCAACAGGCCATCCATAGCGTGACGTAGTTTGCGCATTGAAGGCCGCAACTCGGAAGCCCAATCAGTGGTAAGCGATAAGTCGAGGCCTAAAATAGAGTTTATAAAATAAAAAAAAAAGATAATTTTCATCACATTCATCGACATCATTATTGATATCAAGATTGGTTTATTCATCCCCTTAGAGTATGTCACTAGCAATCTGTTTTTGTCTTTGCCCCGAGCGATTCGAGGACTTCGTTACGGCTCTGTTTTTTATTGACTATTGCAGTTGTGTGCTGTCAAAGGCAACCACTACAATTTTCGGCTAATCTACGGCCGGAACTGTATAGCCATCGACCCGTATGCCATCAGAGTAGCTTGACCTCTCTTATTCAGGTTGTAATAGTGGGGTTTCGTACGGAAAAGTGTTCGGTTTTGTACAGTGAAGAAGCTAGAAAGGTTTGAGGGATAAAGATTCACTTAGAACCGGGGAGTTTCGTTGTATAGAAATTAAAAATTGTAGTACTACAACACGTGTTGGAAGGCTGGACCAACACTCACATCAGACGTAATGACTCCCATAAGCAGCTAGCTCTCTTTTTAGGTGGCAACATTTTTAAAAACTTTTCGTTCGAATTTAATAGTCACTTTATGATTTTTACTTGTTTATCATAATAGTTGCTATTATTACATCCAGTTGGTTTTCAGCGAAAATTTAACATTCATTTCAATAGTATTATTGAGCTTAGTACCACGAATTTTTTTTTTTAGGAAAAAGGGAAACACCAGCAAAGTCTAAGCGGTAGAAGTTATAGCTGCTATTACGGAGATCAACACATCTCATCAGACCTCTTTCTCTGACTTCAGCAGGAATCGAACTCGCATCATCGATTAATTGACTAGTTGGTTCCAATGAACTTAAAAACTGGAAACCCCAAAAGTATTTTTCAAGGAACTTTCAAAAGCTAAGTAAAATTTTTGAGGTTTTCAAGACCTTTAAAATTTTTTAGGAATAAAAGATAAATTATTAAAAAAAATAATGTTCCCATGACCGGCGGAACATCCTAAATTTGCAACTGCAGCATTCCACAAAACTCTTTGGGAATTTGTATGCGGTTACAACAACAACAACCATAAAAAAGAAAAATAATTACAATACATTCACTTACCGTCCGTGAATTTGTTTCCTTTTTTCTGAGCCACGATGGTTTCCTTATCCGTCGTCGATTGTTGTGTTTGTGCTTCAACATCCTGCGTTAAGTCCAAAATCAATCCATTGCCATTTGCATTTGTCTGTTCACCTTCTGCGGCCCGATCAGTTTCTTCGATGTCAGCAACTTTAATTTGATTAACAACTAGATCTGGCGGGGCAGGCGAGTGCGTGAAGCCAGCGCGTTTCATATTAGTTTTTGGTTGCCTCAGACGTATTGCTGGGCTACCACAACGACCACAGAGAAATTTGATTTTACTAACCAGGCACATTACGCTCGCTTCGATGTTTAATTGTGTCAAATCGAGCGGTTCTGGCTCCTCAGTGGGCCGATAGTAATTAGCCGAAGGAGAAGAGCTCATAATTTTTGTGTCCAGAAAACTTCCATGGTTCAGTGTGGTCGCATTGTAGTCGACATCCAATTCAGGATCAATGTACGTATAGTAATGAGAGTTATTATCATTTGGAGTGAATGTTTGTGTCATGGCCGTATTATTGATGTTAGTTGACTGTTCAACATCAAAATCATCTAGATCAATTAACTGAAGTGTTGAACTGGCCCTTCGATTGTTGGCTTTCAAGTCATCCGCACCACAATAATTTCCTTCGTTAAACGCGATGTCAGTTGCAGTGTCATGCAGATGCACGGGCAGGGATTGGAATGTAGCTTCAGCTTCCGAATCATTGTCTGCTGTAGTTCCAGTATTTATAACCACCGTACGATTGCGCAGTTGTTCGTTGTATGTTTTTACAGTGCGATGTAGAGCGTGTAGGGCATTTATATCCATTGTCGAGGGTGAGGGACGCAGACAGAGGCTATTTGAACGCACCAGTGGGCGGCCAACACCCGTAGGCGTCTTTGTGCGAGGCCAGAGATCAGGTGGTGCAACAATGGGTGTGGCAAAATCTTCCAGTTCTGGTGATTTTAAATCCAAAGCGCAAAGTTGTTGTGTGATTTTACGAAATGGTGACATTGGCTGTGAAATTGAAACATTTTACTTCATTATACACACACACATATTTATCTTAAATCAACACCGAATACGATTTACCATTAACACATTATCTGGCTCCTCAATAATGCGATGTTGTTCCACAAATGCGAACGCTTCTTCCACCAGATTTGGCTCCCAAATATTTAACAGCGTTTTGGTTTTTGTAATCATTTCATTACATAAAGGCATCATGCCTTTCGGGTTTTTACTTTTCGCAAGGGAAAGTAGCTGTGACATTATTTCAACAATCTCTTTGCGCAGCTGCTTGATAGCCTGTACAGCGTCGTTGGCGGCCTGCACTTTGCATGCATTGCCCTGTTCGAATTTTGTTGGTGAATCTTTGGTTTCCTGCAGAAGTCTGTTAGACAAGTAAAATAAATTGCTGCAATTTCTTACTATCATCTGAATATCTTAAATTTATTTACTTTATAAGCCCCCCAGTGCGTCCTTTGCTTGCATGGCGTGTAAATGCGCCAACCGTTATAATATCCAACACACCCGAACGATTCAGCGTGTCGTTTTGTGCCCACATTCGTTGCAAATGCAAATTGACTGGCACAAATTCCAGTGATTCCTCAGTTTTTGCAGAAGAACGTTTGAAGTAAGGACCTACGGCATGAAAAGAGAATTAATGTAAAAAGTGTTCCAATGTAATAGCGTATAGATCTGTCTTCTTCTGTTGTTCTAAAAGTAAAGAGGCGCTCATGGAGATAAGCACATATCTAAAATAAATGAAATAAATTTACAAATTTCCAGTTACTCCGCTAGAAACAAATCTTTATATAAAAAATAAAAATCTAATAAAAAAGCACAGCAGGAAATAATGCTACTTTATTTTGGTCAGAGTGATTTTCAAAAAATATATGTATAGTAGCTCACCTTCATCCTTTGTAATTTGCTGAAGGTTTTGTTTCGCTTGCGAATAGTCTTTAAGCAATTTAAGATGTTTATCTAGCAAATCCATTTGACGACGTCGCCATTCGCCACCTAATTCGCCCATCCCTGAGATTTCTTGTAGGAGCTCCTTTTCTCGCAGAATCCATACAGAGCTGTAAATATTCCAACACAAAATAATACAGTGATCGCCTAATACAACGAATTTTTCGTTTAGCGAGCCACAAAAATTACATATCGCTCGCTTGCTGTGGAAAAACCACTATTATTTGGTTTCTTAATTTAGAAAAATTGTGTTTACATGCAATATTTTTTATTTTATTTTTTGTTGAGACTCTGTTTTATCAAGCGATAATAAACAAATTTTAGTATTGGATTAACTAACACATCAGTGCTCTTATGCAAAAGCTCACCAAAACAGCGCCTTTAACAAAATTTAGGTAAAAAAATATTTCAAGCACGAATTTACATATATCATTTCTTTGATTATCTTAAAACAGTGTGAGTATTAACCTACAAGAAGCTAACATCGACTGCTATTCGATATGACGAAATTTCGGCTTAGCGAATAAGCGTATGTGTAATTTTTTGTGTCCGACAATTTGTTTAAAATAAATGGAAAAATGTTTACTTACAGCAATTGCTGTGGTATTGTAAAACTATATTTACTCTCAAGCAGCGTCTCATGTACACTAATGTCGCCACCCATACTCGAGTGTAAACGATATGTGTGAATCTGAAGTAAAATAAAGACTTGATTTAAGGAGAAGGCGAACAAACGCTTAGGTACAGAAAACCTACCAAAGGATTTGCGAAGACAACTTGCAGAAGACCTTGAAAAGGTACAAATAACTTTACGCCTAACTTGGGTGGTAAAGATTGCGAACGCCGATGGCCTAAACAAAAAGTAAAAAATTTATTAAATCGAAATAAGATATAAGCTTAAATTCATAACAAATCACAATTACCTTTTGTCTGCTCTTCAAAAACCTGCGTAGTGGAACGTGGTGGCGATTGTCGATCCGTTTCTGGTGCCCATGAGGCAATAGTAATAAAACCACCTTCGCCATCTAGCGCCCGCAGGGGAATGCGAAACCGTGTAGCATCCTTTTTTTTTTTTTAAATGGGAACGTGAATTTAATAAAATTACTATGAAAACTATTCTGAATTTAAACACTAACTTGTATAACACCCACAGCTACTTCGGCATAGGCGAGTGGCACCGCAGTGTGTGACAATCGTTCGCGTACATCATAAACTGTAAAACGTAATAATGTGTCTGCTGTAAAACCATCGCTACGCCTAAATCGGATGGTGCACAAGAATTGTGGATTCGCAGAGCGCTCGACGATTTCGGTGCATGCAAAATCTCGCCATAGCAACGTATCACCGGTTAAGAGCGAAGAGCACACAACGCGTGTATTTGGTAGACGTCCGTGATCGCCACACGGCAAGCTATCACAGGATAAGGCAGACTCACAGATTGGTATCTCGGCGAGGTCTAAAGTCAACAATAAGCGAGGTGTAATTGAAAGTGGGGGAAGAGAGTGAGATAGATAGGAGAAAGATAAGACAGAAGTGAGAAACCAATATATTGTACATAAGTTGTTATAACCAACACGATGAGAGTAGGAAGGTTAGGGTAGAAATTAGTAAGTGCAGACAGAATTTTTAGTTAAAATAAAGGCAAAAACAATTTATTTGCTTTAGTATTTGATTTTTATTAAAGCAACTTACTTATTCATTTCTTGTAATTAAAATAGGTATTATACAACTAGTTACAGATAAGTAGATTCTTACAATCGAAATGGGTAGAAGAAATGCATGCGATGGCTTTTGTTGGTTGATAGCTAATGTAGTTACAAAATTTACAAAAAAAAAAGTATAATAAACCAAAACCAAAGCTCAACTAAGAGAAGTTCTGAGTGAAATTGTGCTTAGCACATAATCTTAATTCGATTATGTTGAAAAAAATGTTAAGACTTCGTAAAAATTAAAGTTAATAACGGATCTAATTTTGCTATCATTCAGGGACCGCAAGCAAGTAATAATTGGAATTAAAATTTGAACTACAAAAATCATTCTTATAGAGACAAAATGCCTGAGCAATGGGTACACCAACATAATCTCTACTACTCGACTATCTTTACCTGTATTAATTTGTATCTACATATCGGTGTTTCCAGAAAAAAATTAAAATTTCAAAATCTTTCTTATGGCATGTTTAGTTGAAACGTAATAAGACATAGGATTTGCAAAAAATGGAGCCGCTGGTGGCTCTGATGCCAAATAAAAAGTCTGTTCGACATAAAAAGCATGTTTTCTGTCCGCTAAAAATTCTCTCAACAATGGGCGCGTTACTTAAGAGCGAAATACACCACACAAGCGGTTTGACAAACCAAGCGAAATTTCCCTTTGCTTCAAGCCATTTGTGCTGTGTATGGGGGTGTTTGAAGGTTTGACGGCGGTATATTAAAAATAAAATAAGAAAAACTAAATTATAAATCCATATTTTTGGCTTTTTAATAGTGGGATATTTCAAAGTCCTTAAAAAAGCTTATATAACGTCGTAATTAGTACTTGGCATATTTTTTTCTTTTGAAAAAGGTTTTTTCCTCGAAATAACTTCCTGTGTTAAAAATATTTGTTTTCCCCTGTGCTTCAATACCCAAGTTCACTATGGGCACTTTTTGTAATTCCTAGACTAAGTTATGCGTAAAAAGACAAGAATTTCAAGCTTATAATCCAAATATTTAGGAAAGTATGTTTATATGTACAAGCTTATAGGGGTTAGGTAGTGCAATTAGATCTATATTAAAAATTCCATTTATAAGTTCAATGCTAACTTCACGACCTACTTTTGGATCAGATTTAAATACCTAAAATATTTTAAAAATAATCTCAGTTATTTCAATTAAGTGTATTAAAAAGGATTAACTGCGGGGCCAAAAAATATGTTTTTTTTTTCATTTGAAACTACGCTTAGTTCCAAATAGATATTTAATCTCCCTTTTTCTACGAGATCTTAAATTTAACTCAATATTTACATATGCAAGTTAATTGTATAAACTACTATAAAGCAATTAAAAACTATTACATTGCTATAAACAAAATATTCTTAAAATTGTATAAGATCACCTTCGTCCACTTTGACCGTTGCTGTGTTATGTATTGTTGCAGCTACACCACCAACAGCGCGGCCAGCATTAAATAGCAATGCATCACTAGCTGCAACCGTAGGTGGTACACCACGCTCGATGTGATTGCCCATTTTAATGGCAATTTGGTCTTGGAGATATTTAATTTGACGATCTAGATATGCATACGAGGCCAATTGAATGCACTTTACCCACTCCAAGCGCTCTTTGGCGGTACGTGTGGAAATGCGCTGTGAACTGCTACCTTCGAATTCTAAAAATTGTTTATGTAAAAATCTTACCATTAACCACAGCGCATTTAATTTAAGGTATAAATCGCACTTACCTAGAATGAAAGAAAAACCATCAAATTCCCGCTCTTCGTTGCGTATCAATGGTCGACAATTTTCAAGCACCAGCAGCCCAGAAGGTGGTGATTGTGGATCGTGATCTTTTAAATAGAACAGCAAATTGCCACGTAGTTTACACCAACGCGGATAGTTCACTAAAAGGGTGAAAAAAGAGGAATACATACATATGTATATTCAACTGTAAAATTGCCGTGCGATTTTTTTGTTGAAGCAATGCAGTGTTTTTTGAAAAGTCTATTAGAGCTTAAATGTGATGGAAGCACAATAACACAGGTTTACAAAAAAAAAAACAGTTATGCATATTAAACCAAACCTATGTATATATCCCTATGTTACTCGACACGCTGAATGCGAATCCGAGGTCCGTTAGCCTCCATCCAGTGCCGGATTTAGGATCCATGGGCCCTAGGCTCTTTCCGTGGTGCGGGCCCCCCTGGGAGTACTAAGGCAAACGGCGGGACACGGTTTCCCTTCAGACTTTGTACATTTTAAACAAAGTAAATTTCTTTTTGGTTTTGGTAGTAGGATAAATTGCAAGTTTCAAGTGGCTAAAACATAATTTGTTCTCGTTTCTTTTTGTAGCGCCGTACGCAACGTTGTCGAGAGGCCCCCTTTATTGATAAATGATCGCCTATATTCAACGAGTCTTAAAATTCTTAAATTTTGACAAATATTTTTTCCCACTATTTCTGAGATATTCGGTTGATATCGTACGCCGCTGATTTCTGATCAGCCAAGTCTACGCCGTCCATAGCATCGGGGCAGGCACATTTTCTCTTTCTACCGTCCTTCTGTTTTCTGTCGACATCTGCTATTATCGGTTTGTGACAATTAGACACAACAAGTACTCCCTTGAATCCATCCAGTGTATACATTGAAATCGTATGTATATAAACATTGAACTCGGTAGGACCTTGAGGATCAGTTACCAAAACTTGGGGATCCCTTTTTAAAGGCATATGAAACTTGGGATCGAAGTTGACGTCTTCTGTGGGATTAGTGCAGGTGGCAACGGCCGGTGCTTCACTCGCGTAATTATCGCATGACTATTCTTCCTGATCCATATTCGCATTTATGTTATCGGCAGCTTCTTCTTCGTCGTCAAATTCAGAAAAGGAAACATTTCTTTCATCTTCTGCAGTAGTGGCTTATGTTTTCAGCATCAAGAAAATGCTCATTGGTGCTCTCACATGGGCTAAAATCTTCATAAGCAGAATAGTCATACAGTATATCTGCCACCTCTTTTTTTAGTGCATATAAATTTAATTACGGTCTGAAATAATTTTCAATTTACATAAAAATTAGGTAAAAGGCGAACAGCATAACGCTAAGGCCTCCTCGTTAGCAGATCTTTCAAAAGACAGTAACGAGCTTTCAAGATAGTTGACAATTGTCTTACGAAAGACAAGTCGAGTTGAAAGACAGCTGCCAGAACTGCCCTGTTATACTGATTTGACAATATCTTATTTGAAAATTTGTCTTTAAAATTTTGCATACGATAGCCGAATGACAGAAAATAATGCGTGAAAGCTGTTTTATTAATTCACTTGCTTATTGCGCCATGAACCGCTACAAAACTTTAGATGCGCTTCAATTCTCTAAAACTTGCACGACAGCCACCGTTTTTTAATATTTACTTTATTTATGCTTTTTATAAATTATGTACTTATTTTAATTAAAAAAAGTTAAACTACGTTTTTTTATTGAAAAGTTGAATGTTGACAAATTCACTATTTTGACGAGCGAGGCGAACATCAAGTCGACGCGAAAATTTTATGTAGGCCGGCCTTTATACTCATAGAAAGTACAAAAGTTAATGAAAGTAACCCTTCAAATTTGTAATCACAATGCCTAGCCGCCGTGTACACGAAATGACTTTGCTTACTTTTTTCACTTTTTTCTTTCTTAATATAATTTTTTTAATTTTTCATGTGGCGCGGGCCCCTAGATTAGCGCCTATGTAGCCTATGCTTAAATCCGGCTCTGCCTCCATCACGTCAGTTGCGTGGTCAGTTGAAGGACAAGTAGGGAAAAATTCATTGAATAAACCTGAAAATGCATATATATGGCGTTTTAGATTCGCTGAACCCGAATTCGAGTTCCGTTGGCCGCCATAATGTCAGCTTCGAGGACATTTGAGGGTGAAATAGGACAAAAAATTTATATTTAATAAAAATATAAAAAAAAATTGTTTTTGTAGTCGCTGAATCCGAATATGGGGGTCGTCCCTTTATTCCTCAAGTACAAGGTCATGCGAGGGTCGAACTTCAGGAGAATTTTACTAAATTTTCGGGTTTATTCAATGAAGTTTTCCCTACTTGACCACGAACCTGACGTGATGGAAGCTAAGGGCCTCGGATTCGCATTCACGTTTGGTTTAAATGCATACACTTTTTTTTTTGTAAACTTGTGTAATTTAAGTAAAGGTAAACTATTTTACAAACCGACACCAAAATTTCCCTTTAAATATGTATGTGAGAAAGTGAGTATTTAGTGTAAGGTTAAATCAATATACCGATCAATAGTGCAGCGCAAGAATGGATATGTAGCTTTACACCACACTTATGTATGCACGTAGGTATTTTTGTGTGCGTTTTTATGAATTATAGTATAGTGTGCTTTAGGTGTGATAAAAATACTTTCTTTACCTATATTTTTTAAATGTTACAAAGAATATAACATGGTTTTTGTGTAAAAGAATTCGTTTATATGTGGAATTTGTTGCCCTGTTAAATATGAGAAAAAATAAATGATGGTTAAAATAATGAGCGTATAGGAAGTATTCATATATTTTAACTATTAAAAATGGTATCAGGATAATGAAAGGATTGTTTTACATATTTAGAGATCCGCAAACTGAAAAAAATATAAATACATATCTAAGCGTGCATATAAATATGTACATAAAATATACATGTGCTTGTACGTATGTACATACATATGTATGGAAAATCCATGATAAAAACATACCAAGGTATAACCGTTCTCTCAATTTGTCGGCCATGATTTTTTTTTGAAGTTTGCCAACATTTTAAAATCATATAAAAGTGAAAATAAAAAATTGAAATTGTTCGAAATTGTTGTTGCTTGAGATTGAAAATGAAAATGTGTGTGTGAGTTTGTGAGTAAATTTAAAAATTAAATTGTTTGGAAACGTCAAGAATTTTAAAAGTGACTCTCAGCGGTTCTACCTTACTATATTTTTATAATGGGAAAATCATATCTACAGACTGATAATAACATATTGTATAGTAATTGAAGTCAAAATTATCCCCGAATTCGTGCATTTTGACATAATGAGTTTCATTAAATATACATACATACATGAATCCAATAAATCAACAAGTAATTTTTAAGCAAAAAACAAAACCGTCTTCAATTCTCATATAAAAATTTAAGATTAACGTTAATTTCTTCGCGATCCAATTATCGTAACTAAACAAAATTAGTATGGGACCGCCCTCGAGGTGCCATCTTTCCGATCGAAATCGGTTAACGTGGCCCAAAGGTATGCGGTAACATACATAAAAAATAAAAATAAAAAATATATATATGTATATTCCGAAAAACTGATAACTTTCGCCTTTTTTTGAAATCGGTTAAAAATACAATATACCTTGATCATTTATCTAATCACGTATCACTAACACTAATAAAAGATTCGAATTACAGAATTCGAAAATTCCCAGTTGGCCACAGAGTGACAACGAGTTCGAATCGAGGTCGTTACGATGTCGGTCTGTTGAAGTCGTTTGGGTGAACTCTAAGCAACGTCGAAACGAAGTCGGTTTTTCCATACAAATCGCCACGTCGTTCCGACTTCGTTTTTTCCCATCGAGTAGAAGTTGTTACGACGTCGGCTGCCAACTATTCTTAGCCATGGGGATAAAAAAAGTGCCAAATATGGTGCCATTCCTTTTACACCTTCCTATTTAGCAATAAAATAAGAACCAAATTTCTAAAAGAAAAGTGCAATGCCAAAATTAGATAAACCAGTTGTATACACTTTAGAAATTAGAAAAATTTAGTTGAGATAAAGAATTACACGTAAATGATTTTACAAAAATTTATTGAAATATTACTATTTTTCAAAAGTATCATTTTGGCACTTTGTGCCAAATTTAAAATTTAAGTGCCATTTGAAGAAGAACAGGGCCAAAAATGGCACGGCTTGAGCCAAGTTGGCAGGTCTGCTGTTGAATTCGTTTGGCTGAACTCCAAACGACGTCAAATCAGATTTATTTTTTCCATACACAATTTTTACTTTAATGAGCTACAAAAGTGCTTTATATACTTTCTTATAATTGAACTATATTTTTTTTTTAATATTGCATACAATTTGAAATTGGATTTATGTATATGGTTTTTGTTAAAGATTTTGAGCATCGTTCTGCACTTCGCTAGTATATCGTTTTTGCGGTTCCCCGGCAAATCGTTTTTGAGACCCGCCGGGCAACTGTTGGCGAACGTCGCCGGCGAACAAATTGTTTACCAGAACGAGTCGGAAACGACGTCGATACGAAGTCGTTTGCAAATTGGGCTTCTGCTTAGTTTTAAGTAGAAATACTTATACATACATATTTTAGCATAAAAATACATAATTTTATTTTTACTTATCAACCTTTTTTTTTACTTATCAACCTATAGTTTTTGGGATTGACTGCATTCCATTTTAGCTTAACTAGTAAGTATTCAATTTTTTTCCATCTAGCTCAACTAGTAGGCATTCTATTTTTTCATTCCTACAACTAATAATTTTAACATGGAGATATCCTACGAAATGTTAATTGCCCGGCAATGTTATCAGCATCAACCAGTAGAATTACTATACTAACCTCATACAATTTAAAGGCAGTTATCGCTAATCTCATAACAAGTGAGTTTTAGCTGATGCCGGTTAATTAAGTTAGCTGCTAGAATGTTTATTTGAATTTTCATTTCAGGGTATGTATATAGTATTTACATATGCATCTAGCTTCTGTAATATTTCTTTAAGTAAAACAAAAATAATGTCCACGATTTATACCAAAATTCAATTATTTTTGCAAACTTTTTTACTCTTACCATCGGCACGACGAAAGAAGCCCTCTTGACGTTCGGTGACAATTAATAGTCCTTCCCTCTCAAATTTCGTTGCTGGATTTGAGGCTAATGCAGTTAAACCAGACTTATTGAATCGCATATTTTCAAATTTGTCACTGCTTCGTCACACTTTACCGCCAGTGTAGTTCACTTGAAAGTTAGTGTGGTTGTATTGCTGAAAATTGAAAATTAAATAAAAAATGTTGAAATTTTATTAACAAATTTGGACAAGAAAATTAAACTTAATGATACACTGTTGTTGTTAAAGTTTTATAATTGGGGGTATTGAAGAGTTATGATTCTTGGTAGAGTTTTTCTGGATAAAGTTAATAATGTACAACCGGCTAATTGACAGATTTTGTACTAGTACGTTGCCGACGGAAGGACGCAGTTTTATTCCTCGGCTACAACAGCATAAACCCAAACTTTTTATGCTACATATTAGAATCGTAATATTTAATGAGATTTTTGATGTGTTTTTTTTAATTTTTTTCAAAGATTGGTTTAAGAAAAACTTGAATAACTGGGCTAAAACTATTCCGATTTAGACTTATGAGATATCAGTGGAAAGGCATTTTCCCCACTATTTTTATTTCCTTGCAAAACAAAATCATTCACGTTCCAAAAATTTTTTTTTTTTTTCAATTACCGACCCATCTTAATTCAACTCTTGGAATGATGCTCATTTATCCCACCTTTCTCTTTCATACTTTTAATGAGTTTGTTTGAAAAAGTAAAAAAAACAGCATTACAAATCTTATTATTACGATTCCGTCGATTTTTTTTTTATGTTTTTATACAGATTGTTTTAGCTTAAAATATTTTGCTATCTAAAGGGAGTTTTTTTAATTATTTAAGAAACTATTTTTATTCATAAAAAGCTCTATTTTTGGAAGTATTTTCAAGACGGTCCAGCTCACGTAAATCTTAATATTTTTTCGAAATATAATAGATTTTATAATTCCAATGGAATTACAGTAACGATTTTTTTTTTCTATGGGAAGTGATGCAGTATAATGTACATATGTATGTTAATACAAACATAGTATAGTAAGTATTTGCAACAACTACAAGAGTGATTAAAGGTCAAAGTTCAAATTAAGAACTTTTTTAAAACAGAATTTCTCAAAACCCCTTCCATGGATTTTAATATCATTCGATAGAGAATTTAATTCTCTTTAAGTACTTATGGTACTTATGATATATATGCTTTGTACAGTTTTCACAAAAATCGAATTAATGTAAAAAATATATTTAAAAAAAACTACCAACCCATTTTTCTAAAATCACCTTATTAGTAATATGCAAAAGTTCTAGAATTAAATAGAAAATTTATCAAGCCTTCATTTGATATACTTCAGTATGCTGTCAATAGTCCTCACTTTACAAAGTATTTAAAAAAAAACTGCCCTGGTCCGACCAACGCCGGCTACGCTATCCACACTATTTGTATAACAATTACTAAAGAGAATTCTCCTTTCTGCTTAAAGTTAGGACTATTGACTGCGTACTATTTAATTCTAGAACTTTTGCATATACTAACATATGATTGATGACTTAACAAAAAATGGGTTTGAAAACATTTTTTTTTTAAATGTATTTTATAAATTCTAGAACTTTTGTATATACTAAATATAAATGTAAATGTGAGTTAATGTTAGCCAGGCATGTTGCAAACTGCTCTTAATAGGTTAGTTGATTTCCTGTTTTTTACCTTCCTTTTATTAACTCGGGATGTAACTATGTAATATTGATGCGCCTAAAAGATGCAGCGATTTCTCTTCTCAAGTTACGTACCTGATGACAGTACGAATGGCAATTATAATAGGGAGGTTTTAGTTTTTTAAACTATAATTTTATTAATTTAGTAATGTTTGATACTTAATTTAAGAATGTTTCAATTAATTTGGAAATAGTTTAATTTAATTTAAAAAAGGATGCGCTTAATTTCAAAATGGTTTCAGTTAAACTGGAAATGCTATAAAAACACCTTTCAGGGATCCACATATGTACATAAGCGGCTGTTTATTGATGTGCATGGCTGAGTCTATTTATTTCCACAGATAAGTCCATTTTCAATTCTACATACATACAAAATTAAATCCAATCGTTATCGCATATAAAGTCTTATCAACAACAACTTTGTATGTAAATAAATACTAAACGAATGTTCATACATACATACATATGTAGGTATAGTATTCGCACATTTATTTAACCCAAGCGCAAATTAAATACAACTAAACACAAACCATTGTTTTTGGGTTACTGGGCGGAGGCGAGCGGGCGAGGCTCTTGATACCCCACCCGCTAGAAAGAGCACAGTTCAAACCTTTTAAAAAGTCAAACCGGTCCCCTCGAACGCTTCCACAGACCCCTGGACAACCATTTAAAAATGAGGTAAAATTAGAATTTTGACACCTCGGATTACGCCGTCCATAGTATTTTTGCACAAAATACCTTTCCGCTTTGGCGGCCTTCGAATGCGATTAGTTAAATTTCGGTTAAGCGATCCACAGTATTTTTGCGCAGAACTCACTACAAAATTCACAAAAAAGTGCATATTTCAAACCCAATAAAAATAATATAATAAAAGATTGGCGCTTACACATATGTTAGTGTTTGGCCGAGCTTCTCCTCCGACTTGTGGCGTGCGCCTTGATGTTGTCACACAAAGCGGAGGGACCTACAGTTTTACGCCGACTCCGAACGGCGATTGTATTTTTGTGAGAAGCTGTTTTTCGTGGCAGAAATATACTCGGAGGTTTGCCATTGCCTGCCGAGGGACGACCGCTGTTAAGAAAAAACCTTTTTCTATATTTTTTTTGCGATGTTGCTTTGACCAGGGCTTGAACCCAGGTGCTGATGAGTGAAAGCGCGTACTGCTTACCACTACACCACAGCGGCCGACATTTCAAACCCAAGTTATTAATAAATTAGTGACCGAAAATTATAAAATTATTTTTTAAAATAAATTCTAAACCCTTGACTAAAATGTGTGTGTTCTTTCGTTCGGTATTTGCCGATGTGGTAATTATTCCGAGAACTTGTTCAAAAGTTCCGAACATTATCATATTGAGTATATCGAATGAGCTTTAGTTAAGAGCCTTAATGGATGTATTATATATCTAAGAATGTTTCATCGGGAAGAGTTCTGTTTAAGGCAGCGAACTCCTGGAATTGGGCTTGGCAGTTCCAGGACTAAAGTTAGCAAAACGCAGATTTTATTGTGGACTTCGGCAGAATATGTATTCCCTAACAACGTTTGTCCCGCAAACTTTTTTTTTTGTAAGAGACTCCCATTTTAAAGTTATTGCATATGTGAACTCAACAATTTTTTTCTAAAGCTAAAATATATGTACATGGGTAATTTCCAAACAAAATGCTATTGTTTAAATACCTACTCCATATAAAAATATTTATCCCCGCTCAGGTTATTCGATAATCAACATGAAAAAAGTTTAAAAAAAAAAAAAAAAAAAAAAATTAAAAAGGCATAACTGTTTGTGAATGACTACCATAACTTTTATAATTTATTCTAATTTTGCCTGAAAAATTTTATCAGCATAAGCGTGGCTTTCTATTATAATATTGTCCCTCCGAATTTTCTACAATGTCACTTTTTTTAATTATGTTGATATTAACATCAATTATTTTACTTGACATAAGAAGTCGGGTCTACGTAACCGGAACGACCCAGATTTTTTTTTTTTTTTTTGCCAAGGACTGTCACTTCAGCAACACTCCCCAAAAACTCTTTGGGGAGCTTGTATGCTGCTACAACAACAACAAAATCAACAACACGCCACCTATTGGCAACATTTTTAGTTGAGTTATTCCTTTTCATGTAGTTAATATACGTTCTAAATATGAATAAAATCGGGCTATCAATACTTGGTTTTCAAATATCTCGACTCCATCACCGGATTTACTCATCTTTCGTAATGCGTTGTAATCGGGTTCTGAGCCAAATGGTAAGTTTCAAGTCTCTAGGTCATCGGAAAGCTGGTCAAAAATTGATTGCAAGATTTGCTTCTAAACTTACATACATAAATACAGAGCAAGTTAAAAAGAAGCTTGTAAAAATATAAAAAATTACCTGTCATGTACACCTTGTTCGGAAAAGACCCACAAATGAATGTATGAAGAAGGGGCAACCCGGACATGAATTTCTAATCGTAGCTTTCGCACTTTACTGCACAGTCGCACTTTCTTAGAAGTTCAAAAACATTTTCTTAGCTTAAGTAATGTCGAAATATAAGCGTTACAATGAAAGACTATTTCCTAAAATGTTTTCAAAACGTACACTCAATCCAAAATCGGCAAAAAATCTGGAAAATGGTTGTATTTGAGCTACACTTTGAACGATGTGTTTAAATTGTGCAGAAACATGAATGTGTAAAAATTAAAATTTTAGAAAATCAAGTTTGAAAGTTTTTTTTACGAAACTTAACTCTACATTTATGCAATTCAAATTGCAATAAAAGTGGTTTCCGTGTACGTATGGTATTTTGGGTTTTGGCATAATATAGAACATCGAAAGGTTAATCAAGGCAACGCAATAACTCCAAACTGATAAATTTGCACGTTCATGCTTCTGGCATAAGGGTGACGATGCATCTTAAATGTGCATGATTTACGTAGGTTGTCATTAAAAAGTCTGAATTTGAGCATTTTCCTGAGCTCATTGCATCGCACGTTTGATAATATAACGAAGTATTTCTAAATTTCAATTGTGGGGGAAAACACAATCAAAGTTTTATTAATTCATACAGTTGGTATACAAAAAGACAGATGGAAAGACACATATCTTCACCAAATTTGGAAAGTTTGGTTTTCTGTTACACTGAATATATTCTACTTATCAAGCTTGTTAATTGCGTAATAAAATCTCCAAAAAAGTAAATTTTGAGTTACCTCTCTATATTATTAAACGCGCGATATGTAAATCCTTTCTTCTCGTAACAGAGCCTGATATAAAGTAAATAAAGATGCCCCTATTATAGGGGAAAGATCGCTCGTTTAAATAAAAAAAATAAACCTTGCTAATTACGGTCTTTTGCATTTCAGGTGATGTATGTATACGTTCTTCTATATATGTAGGAACATTCATTACAAATACATGCATGTAGGTATGACCGGAAAATAACAACACCAACATTCAGAAAGTCTTAACCGGTAATCGTTGTGGCTAAGGTGTAGTCAAAGAATATTAATAATTGAATAATTAATACCCACAACCAAAACTATGTGTCTAGGAAAGTGCAGACTATGGAGGATAAAAACGGTAACGTGTAATAAAAAAATAGTCGTTGAATAAACAAATTTTAGCCGGTGTAAAGTGTTGCTATTAAACACATACATGCATACTTATGTACATACATACATGATGTGCTTTGCAAGGGAATAACAAATTCGTACGGAAGTATACAGGGGTGTGTTCAGAAATGCATCAAGCCAAAGCATCAGTCTCTTTTACTTCCAAACTGTAATTAATCGAAATGCCTTATTTACGCAACTAAGTTCCAATTAGGCATTTAACCGTGGTTGCGCATATTGGACATTTCCATCAATTATAGTTTAGATATAAGAGACACTGATGCTTTGGCTTGATGCATTTCTGAACACGCCCTACATCTGCGTCAATAAACGACATAAGTGACCTAAGGTTTGACTTAGATTAAAAAAAATTATATTTTATTAAGGTTTTATTGAAAGAGAATCTTGAGTTACACCTATGGCTAGTAAATCGTTAAATAATTTAATAACACAATGAAATTTTGCTTTAAAGTGAAAATGGCTTACTTTGAGATAAGTTGTTTTATCAAACTGCCTCAGATTCATATATTTATGCACTTAATACAACCATATTTAAATACATACATATATACAAATCGTTCCTTTGATGGAAGCACGCCATAACTTAACATTGTGTGGAAAAATAAAGTTTTCACTTATATTTTCCGCATTGAACAAAAGTAAATAATAATTAACGATAATTCCTTGCATTTGCAGAGGGAGATTGGTTATAGGTACATAATCGCTAAACAAAATGGGAACGAGTAAAGTTACAGAGAATACATGTATGTACATATGTACATCCATACATTGCCTTCCTATATCGTTATGGATTTTTTACACAACATAAGAGAATACTTATCCCTAAAAATGATTGTTTGTATCATGGCATTCTGTATATATACGCATGTACATATTTACATTAGGGTTCTCCAAAAATGCATGTGAAAAAGTAAAGTCGGATTTTTATGCCCTCACCCCCTAGGATTGTTCTATGTATACCGAAAAAATATACCCCTATTTTTTATTTTGAAATCACAAAATATTTAGAGGTCGCTCAAAGTTTCCCATGTAAACTCAATATTTTTCGATCGGAAAACTCTCTTCAGGAGATTCCCAAAAATAATAATCAACTATTTATTTAACCATTTTTTCATAGTACATATTTATATTTTATAGGTCCGCCAAAAACCCAGAAAAATACAATGGGTAGAAAAATAAAAAACCTTTCGTATTAAAAAATGGTTAAATAAACAATTGGGTATTGTTATTGGATGTCTCCTGAAGAGAACCAGAGTTTTCTGATCGAAAATATTGATTTTCAAGAATTCCATACCACTTCTACGAAAAGTTGTTTTTCCCATAAAAAAATACATGGAATACTTTGAGCGAGATCTAAATATTTTTTTTTGATTTAAAAATAAAACAAGT